TGGAGGTGCTCCTGTTTCTTTCTCTTGTGTGTGGCACATCACTTATGAATTTAAAAGAAAGTAAAAAAGAACTGGGGAAAAAAGCATGCTTGGAATTTCACCACTGAGATAACAACCACTGTCAACATTCTAGTGAAATTTCTCTAAACATATCTCTATGCAGATATTTAAACATTAATGGGGCTGTTTCAATGGCCTAGTGGTAAGCAGTCAGATCCAACATGGCCAACCTCACAGTTTGAGTCCTAGACTCAGCAGCTGGGTACATGTGTGCACGACCAACAGGATGGAGACATAGAAAAGGGACTGCAGCATGACCATTTCCCGTGGAGGATGCTTTCTCTCTCGTCCTTTGTCTCTGGCAAGTACATCAGCCATCTAGCAAATTTAAAAAAAAAAAAAAAGGAGGATGATAATATACACACATGTATTATACAGTATGTTCTTATAATCTAAACTTCAAACTTTGCAAATTTTGAATTTTCAGAATTTTAACCTTATGAGACTACAGGGTAAATAGGCTAACATATTCCATGCATGGACGAATGTTCTCAACAGAACTATGGCTACTCTGTCCTTAGAAGCTGGATGTTGCTGTCGCAGCTCATCCTAAAATTTCTTTTTTTTTGAGATATTTTTTTGCTATAGGGCGCGTGCGCTTGCCAGGCAGATAGAGAGAGACATAGAGACAGAAAGTGAGAAATCACCCCCCGGGAGGACGGTCACGCCGCAATCCCTTCTCCTCCATTCTCCTCTCGGGATCTTGGGCACGCACGCACACGCGCCCGGCGTGAGTTTTAAGCCACCGGGTCCGTGATGCGAACCGCGGTCGACTATGTGGGAGTCCGGCAACATAGCCATTACACTAACTGCTGGTTCCCATCCTAAAATTTCTTAAACACCAAAAATACACTAACCAATTTTAGCTTCTGCCTAACCATCCCCTCAAAACAAAAGTCAATCATGAACAAAGGTTGAAAATAATGAATGAACTCCTAGAAATCATTTACAAAAGATAAAAGAAAAATTAATAAATAAACGTAAGTTTTCAGTTCATCGGGGTAAATACACAAAAGGCTACACACAGAAAAAAAAATTTTTTTTTTTTTAAGTTTTTTGTCATAAAATATGTCTACTCACCGGAGACAGAGAGAAAGAAAGAGTGAAGTCATCACCCCTTAATCCCTTCTCTTCTGTTCTCCTCTCAGGACTTTAGACACACATGAACCCAGCATGTGCACTGATTTTCAAGCAGCTGGGTCCGAGGCTCAAACCACGGTCAGCAGAGTGGAAACCAGTGCCTTAACCACCATACCCCCTGATGGCCCCATACACACAAATTTTTATAACAGCTTTATCCAAAACACAGAAGTAACCAAGATATCCTTCAATAAGTAAATGGATAAATTGTGGTATATCTAAACAACAGAATATCACCTAGCAATCCAAAGAAATGAACTATCAATTCATGAAACTTAAATGCATATTAGTAAGTAAAAGAAACCAATTTGAAAAGGCTACTGTATGGTTCCAACTGCATGACATTCTGAAAAAGGCAAAACTGTGGAGTTAGTATAAGATTACTGGTTGCCAGGGACTAAAAAGGAGAGCAGAGCAGAAGTATTTTAGAGCACAGAAGTCTTTAAGACAAACTTCTGTACAATACGACAATGGTAGAGATATGGGAGTACAAATATTTTCAAACACATAAAATGTACAATGCCAAGAGTGAACGCTAATGCAAACTAAGGGCTTTTGGTGATAATTATGGATCAATTAAGGTTCATCAATTTTTTAAAAAGTGCGACTTGGGAGCATGATTTTGACAGTGGGGGACGTTCTGTGTATGGGCAGACAGCAGGTATGTGGGAACAAAATTGGCAATAGGAATAGAAAAATATTTTTTTTCCTAATTGAGTAGTGCTATTAAGATTTTGTATTTTGCAGCCTGCAGGTGGCACAGTGGTTACATCTCTGGATTCCCACATGGTCTACCACGGTTCAAGTCCTAGATTTGGTGGCTTGAAAATCACACCTGGCATATGTGCCTGCATGCCCAAGATCCCGGGAGAATAGAGGAGAAGGGACTGCAGTGTGGCCATTCCCCCTAGGAAGTGATTTCTCACTTTCCCCCTCATTGTCTCTGTCTCTTTCTTTCTGTCTGGTGAGCTCACACACCCTAAGGCCAAAACTTCTTTAAAACAAGGATTTTCTATTTTTACTGAATTTTGCTATCAACCTAAAACTGCCCTAAAATCTAAAGTTTAGGCCCAATTACAGAGATGCACATGCTAAGACCATGTGTTCTACAGGCTGGGACCACACGGGAGACTCAGGTTCAAGTTCTCATCCAAACTAATGGCCAATCCATGGTTGCATGCACCTGTAATCCCAGTGACTTAAACTCAGGATATTGAGACAGGGGACTGTGAGTTGGAGGGTGGCCTGGGCAACACAGCAGACCATGTCTGAAAGAAAAGTCAGGCATCAGGGCCAGTGGATGGCGTGGTGGTTGAGGTCCTGGACAGTTCGAGTCCCAGACTTGGTAGCTTGCTTTCTCACTTTCTCTTTCTCTCTGGTAAAATTGAAAAATAAAAACAACAAATTAAATTAAATAGATAATTAAAAAAAAAAAAAAAAAATTTAGCCATAATGTTATATACCTATGGCAAGATGCTAAGGTAGCAAAAGTGAGACCCTGTCAAAAACATACGCATGCGCGCACACACAAAACCAAATTAAAAACCACAGAAAAGGGACCAGTAGATGGCATAGTGGTTAAGGCACTGGACTCCCACGTGGTTGACTGCAGTTCAAGCCCCAGACTGGTAGCTTGAAACTTACACCAAGCGTGTGTGAATGAGTGCATGCCCAAAATTCCAAGAAGAGAATGGAGCAGAAGGGATTGCAGTGTGGCCACCCCACCCCACTCCACCCCCTGGAGGCGTTTCTGTCTGTCTGTCTCTCTCTACAGTGAGCGCTCATGCCCTACAGTATAAATCTCTAAAAAACACACACACAAACAAGAAATAAAAACACTGATTTTTTAAAAATGGACAGATTATATAGACAACTGAAAAAAGAAGCTTATATTTCTAATAAAGATATAAAAATATACTTTATAAACTAAAATGAATAGTCTCTTAACTCAGAGAAGCAAGCAATAAAAAAATGACACTAGTTGGGGCCAGCAGGTGGCATAGAGGTTGAGGAAGCTGGATTCTATCTCACCAATTCTATAGTTCAAGTTCTAGACTGGCAGCTTGAAAATTGTGCTGGGTGCATATGCATACTTGTTCAAATTTCAAGAGGAGAACAGAATCTGAAAGACTGTGGAGTGGTCATCCCCCTAGAAGGTGATTTTTCACTTTCCCTCTCTGCCTGTCTCTTTCTCCAGTGAGTGCGCCCACCTTATTAAAAAAAAAAAAAAAAAGCAAAAAAAAAAAAAAAGCAAAATAAAATAAAAATTGGCAAAGGGCTGACCAGCCCTGTGGCCTAGTGTTAAGGGAGCCTGAGCCCACACGGTCAACCAAGGTTTGAATCCTTGCCCCAGCAGAGCAGGCACATTTGCATGTGTGCCCAAAATCCTGGTGGGATGGAGAAAAGCAGAAGGGATTTGTGGCATGACTATGACCCACTGGCAGGAGGCTGTTCTCCTTCCTGCTCTCTCTAGTAAGCACACATACCCTCTGGCAATTAAAAAAAAAAAAAGAGAGAGAGAGAGACAGTATTCATGTGTTAGCAAGCATCTGAAACAATGAATTTTCATATACTGCCTATTGGAATGGAAAAATTTCTAAGGCATTGCTAAGAAAAAAATACATATTATGTGTATTAAAGTCATGACATTCCTGATGACCCAATAAATATATGCACACACATATATAATGGTCCTGTTTTTTAAAAAACCCCACTATATATGAGTAAATTAATATAAGGTAAATGCACAGAAAGTAAAACTGTCAATAGTAGTTATGGGAAGAGGGAGTTTACTATGTATGTCTATACTGCTTGATTCTTTTACAACAGAATATATTCATTAGCTACTCGTATCATTTTAAAATACAGCCTATGCAGGGCCAGCAGGTGGTATGGAGGTTAACGTGCTAGATCCCACATGGCCAGTTTCATAGTTGAGTCCCAGACGCAGTAGCTTGAGCATCACATCAGACATATATATGTGTGTGTATGCCTAAAACCAAGAGGGAAGTAGAGGAGAAGGGGTTGTGGCATGACCATCCTCCCCTGGTATGGGAGGATGATTTCTCACTTTCCCTCCCTCCTTGTCTGTCTCTGGTGAGTACATGTCCCCCATTGCTAAAATACAATAAAACCAACGTATACATAAAAAAAAATTTAGTTCTATTCTGAAAACATAGGAAGTCATTAAATCTTCAAAAACATTTTAAAGATGCAAATACGAGAGGTATGTTTTAGTAGTAATGACAACAGTTGACAATTTCTCTGATGGCTGAATACTTCCTCTCATGTGACATAACTGGGTCAGCCAAAAGTAATCCACATCTAATTTCAGAAAGCACAAACAGAATTACTACAGGAGTATTCAAATTGTAGACTGGTTAAGGACAACACTCACAGTCACTTCCTTAGGATCTGTGTCAGGCCTTCAATGAAGGAAGTGACATGATCTGTCTGAATCACTAATATCGAATATGACTTATATGAAGGAAATACTTACTGCAAAAGTCACATCCCTTTGAAAATGCCTTTTCCCTTCCTCTCTGCATAATCAGAATAAAGTATTAAATAATAAATATCTAATTCTAGTAAAGACTTTTTTTTTTTTTTACTAGATTCCTCCTATTCCACCTTAACCCAACAGTAATCTTAATATAAAGCTTTAAAAAGTAGACATTTCATACACACATAGACGCCTCACTCCAATCCCCATCCCCTGGGGGTGGTGACTGAATGCCAGTCCCCAATCATATTTACATTGCGTAAGTCATACCTGAAAGAAGAATTTATCTAATACTTACTAAAAGTTTTACAGATGTCAGAGACAGCTTTGAAGACTCTATCAGAGAAATTCACTTTCACCTTCACATATTTCATGTTGGGAAGCTGCAAGCGGAGCAGTTTGTGCTGGGGAGTGAACTGAAGCTTAGCATCTGCCTGAATGCCATACTTATCCAACGTCCAATGTGTCTTAAGAAGCCAAGTCCTCTTCTTCTCCCACCAGAGAGCATGATCAGACCAATCTTTTTTTACATCTATAAAAACCAAATAAACAAAACACTTAAAAATTACCAAGATTACCTTGAGAGAAATTAAAAGCAGAAAACGAAATGAGTACTTAATATAAACAATTAATTAAATACCAAGTGCCTGTTAAGTGATAAGTACAAAAGAAATGCAGACAGCTGAGAAAACATACTGTCCTGAAAAGCCAGGATATAAGACAAAACATAGTAACTAATAATGGTTAGGACAACAACAAATCCGGACACATGGATGGCAGAAGTACTCTGATGTCATGGGACAAATACAACCCTGAAGACTAGGATAGGAAGGATAACGAGAAATTGGTGAGTTTTGAGCTCAGCCTCAAAGAGAGGTTAACAATATTATGATGATAAAGTAGGTGAAACAATTTGAGATTACAGAAATGTGTTAAGGTGGGTAAGGGGGAGGCAAAAAGCTGGGGAACCAAAGTGAATAAAAAATATTCTAGGAAAAAAGGAGGAGCCTAGAAAGAAAATCATAACTACTCTTTGACGTAAAGCTCTAAAAACAAAAACACTATATCCCAATAATGCATGCTTTCCCAAATACATTCCAAGAACAGTAATTTGTAAGTCACGATGTCCAACATTTTCTCTGAACATATTTTGGTACCAGTGTAACAGAAAACATTAATATCGGCTAAGCTATTTAGCAGCTTTATGCAAATAAATTAAATGAAACCAAGAATTTTAAAAAGAATATACAAGATTTGGTTATCTCAGATAATAATAAACTAGCAGCCAATAAAATCCAACTTCAGCTAGTTTTTAAAGTAGCAATAAAAGTAAAAGCTTTTTGGATCAATTGCACGTTCTTCTTAAGCACCAAAAGGGAGGTAAGTAATGTTTCAAAAACAAAGCCAAACAAAAGCCTTCAAAGGAAAAAACCCTGGAGAATAACTTTCTTACAAATGAAAAAATAAAATGATCATCATTCCTCTGATATAAAGTCCATTTTAATGTAATCATAGCTTTTAAAACAACTGCCCCATCTCCTTTTCTTTTTTCATGCTAGAGGATACAAGTGCTTGCCAGAGAGAAGCAGAGAGAGGGAAAGGAGACAGCACCCTCCATGTGGAATTGTCACCAGAGAGCTGGCCCAAAAATCATAGCTTTAAAAAGTTAATTGAGCTTAGGGTTTTGTTTGTTTGTTTTAAGTTTGCTAGAGGGTCTATGTGCTCACCAGAAAGGGGGGGAGAGGGGAAGAAAGAGCCTCTTCCTGGAGAATGGTCATACCGCAGTCCCTTCTACATTTTGATCTCCTTTCAGGATTTTGGGCATACATGCACATGTGCCTGACATGATTTTCAAGCCTCTAGGTTCAGGACTTGAACCACATAGTTGGCCATGTGGGATTCAACCTCATTAACTACCATGGCATCAGTTGGCTCTAAAAAAAATCTTAAATCAGCAAATACTTTGATGGGAGAATTATAATTACCTGTGATTATATTGCCATTTTGAAAAAAATTTTAAGAGATTTTTGCTACAAGGAATGTGCACTCACCAGAGATAGAGAGAACAGAGAGACAGAAAGCAAGAAATCATCCCCCAGGGGGGATGGCCACACAGCAATCTTGGGTGCGTGCACCTGGTGTGTTTTAGGCTGCTAGATTGGGATTCAAACCACAGTCAACTATGTGGGAGTCGAATGATGTAACAATTATGCCACCTGCTGGTCCCACTATTTTGAAATTTTAATATTTGTTTTGGGTTGTTGGAAAAGACATGATGCGCTTTTTCTATGCAAAATTGTGTCATGATTTTCCAATGACCCAATGTTTTGGGAAAGTCTAGCCAAGTATGTTATCTAAAATTTGGGTACAGAAATACCTGTAACTGCTATTTTAAAACCACTCACCTAGGGACCAGATGGTATAGTAGTAACAGTGCTGGACTCCCACATGGCCAACCATGGTTCAAGTCTCAGACCTGGTGGCTTGTAACTCAAAACAGGCGTATGTAGGTGCATGCCCAAAATCCTGACAGTAGAATGGAAGAGAAGGGGTTGCAGCATGGCAATCTCCCCAGGAGGTGATTTCTCACTTTCTCTGTCTCCGCTGAGTCTCTGGAGAGTGCATGCACCCTATAGCAAAAATCTTTCTCTCTTAAAAAAATAAAAACTACTCACCTGTGATTCTACATGTATAAACTACTCTGCATCTTGTTATTTTCCAGCACAAAATTTACCAACTAAACTCCTGGAAATAGCAAATTTTGATCTAGCTCAAAGAAGACAACCAAAGTTGAAAACCTTTTCATATACAATGAGTAACTGTTAATTTTTTCTCTGGAAACAGAACCAATGACAGGAAAAAGATAATTTGCAAAGTATGATGGAAACCAAATAGAGTAAGGCTGGCTAAACAGAATTAACCAAAGGTAAGTAATACTTTCTTTTCCACACTTCTATCCAGTCATTTTACTGTACTTCAGTGTCAATGTCAACCATTAAGAAAGCTACATCATATACTCCCAGTATAGGAAGAGGGAGAAGAAAAGCTGCTAATATCGGGACCAGCAATTAGTGTAATGAACTCCCATGTGGTTGACCTCGGTTTGTGTCTCGGACCCGGAGGCTTAAAAAACTCACTTTGAGCACGTGTGCATGCATGCCCAAGATCCCGAGAGAATGGAGGAGAAGGGATTGCAGCGTGGCCATTCCCCTGGGGGTGATTTCTGGTTTTCTGTCTCTCTGTCTCTCTGGCAAGCGCACATGCCCTATAGCAAAAACCTTTCAGAAAAAAAAAAAAAAAGCTGTAATATTAATTAATAGAATCTGAGGTCATTTTTAACCACAGAAAATAGTGGATAAGAAATAATATACAAAATTACAGCAGAAATAGGACACAAAAAATAACAACTATCAATAATACCAATGACTGGGACCTGCAGTTGGCGTTATGGCTATGCCACTGGACTCCCATGTAGTTGACCGCGGTTAGGTTCCTGGACACAGTAGCTTAAACTTACGTCAGTCACGTGTACGTGCATGCCTAAGATCCTAAGAGGAGAATGGAGAAGAAGGGATTGGGGTGTGGCCATCCCCCTTGGGGGATGATTTCTCGCTTTCTGTCTCTCTTTCTGGTGAGCACACGTGCCCTATAGCAAAAACCTCTCCCCCTCAAAAAAATGAACAAACAAATAGTACCAATGACTAGATGGCCCCATGGTCTTGTGGTTAAGGGAGCTGAGTCCCACATGGCCTGCATCTTGATTTGAATCTTATTGGCTTGAAAAATCACATGGGCATGTGTACGCGTATGCCTTAAATCCCTTCAGGGTGGAGAAATGGAAGAGAAGGGATTGTGGCATGATCACAACCCATTGGGGAGTGCTTTCTCCCTCTCCCTCTTTGACAAGTGCATGCCCTCTGACAAAATAAAAGACAATGCCAAAAGATAAAAACAGAAAAACAAGGGCCAGCAGGTGGTGTGGTGATTAAGGTACTAGATTCCCACAAGGCTGACCATGGTTTCAGTCCGAGACCTGGAGGCCTGGAAATCTTCTGGGCATGTGTGCCCCAAAATCCCAAGAGGAAAATGAAGGAGAAAGGACGGTAGTGTGGCCAACCTGCACTGTCCCCTTCCTACCTCCCTGCAACAGGGTCATTTCTCACTTTCTCTTTGGTAAGCACATACATCCTCTTAGCCAAAAAAAAAAAACAAACAAAAAAAAACCCACACATTCTGACAACAAGTAAAAAAGATGGTGTTGGGAGAGACAAGTTAGACTGCAAGAGCTTATGACATCGGTTCAAAGAGTAGAGTTTTGGGTAATATTCTTGAAAACTCAACAGCTTGCATTCTCTTTCTCTCTCTTTGGTGAGCACATGTGCCCTATAGCAAATTCAAAAGTTAAAAAAAAAAAGTAAAAGCTGGGATTATCAGGTGGCATGGAGGTTAAGGTGCTGAATCCACATTATTGACTGTGTAGTTCGAGTCCCAGATCTGGTGGCTTGAAAAACACACCAGGGGTGTGTGCATGCATGCGTGCCCACAATCCTGAGAGTGAAAGAGAAGGGACTGCAGCATGGTCTCTCCTTGGGAGCAATTTCTCACTTTTCCTCTTCAACTCTGTCTCTCTCCCATGAGCACACACGCTCTATAGCAAAGCCAAAAAAAAATAATGAAAAGCTACTACAGCATTATTTAAATGGTGATTAGAATGATCCTATAAAGCTTAAAACACTTTTATATAATTACTACCATTCTCCAATTTGATTGTTGCTCAGTACAGTGTCTCTTCAAAACTTTGAGAGACCTGATTTAACTCTCTTAAACAAGCAAGACAACCCTTTCCCTATTTCTAAAAGATTAGATGTTTCTTCAGTGCTGGCTCTATATTATACTATGTATTTATCACAACTAATAGTATCTCCACCTCAATTCCCACAATTTGATCCATTCAGGTTATCACAAGACTAGGTATCTATTCTATTCATCAGTAGCAAAACAAATGTTATACAGAAATCAAAATCCTGAGCAAAATGATGGTATGCCAACTGAGAATCACTTGCCTAAGCAAGCGTTAAAAGAAGACTTTATATCAAAAAAGCACTTAATTTTACAAATTATGTGTGGAGGGGTGTGAGTAAAGTAGTATATATGAGTGCAATAGCTCTTAAAAGCACTTAAGTTATCTAGCATTCTACAGCATAGCTTATTTCTGCAGAGGCAAGTTAAACCATAACATACTATACAGCTGTAACTTCTGTATTATTATGTGCAGAATAGATTTCAGATGTCAACACATGTTTAAGTATTCCTCTAGTTAACAACCGAGAGCTAGATAGTGATACAGTGGTGAAATAAAGCACCCTGTGAGACTGATTCATATGACAGGACTCTGAGTTTGTGTCCAGAGACCTCCTTGAGTATGCCAGGTATGAGAGCATGTTCATGACTCAGGGCTGGCTGAGGCTGGGGTGGATCGTGGCACCGAGACCCTTTTGGGGCCTGACTATTGGTCATGGGAGAACTTAAAAA